TATTATGTTTTCTATCGCTATAGGAATTTGTGTTTGTCAAACTATTATAACGTTGTGTTGATCCAATTTCACTTATTAGGAAATATTTGTAGTCGACTTTTTATTACATTGTAGCTAACGTCTTGATTCTCACATCGTACCGAGTCATAAAGAAAAATAAACAGTTACTCATAGCTGACTACTTAAAACCATAGCCAAATGAATCGTAACAGAAGAACATTCAAGATACATTGCTGACTTATAAAACTCTTTAGACTTTTAGTATAACGAATAAACAACTATCAATTTTTTGCCACATTAAAATCATTATAGTCAACTTTACATTACATTACAGCTAACGGCTTGTTGATCAATCGTAAAGTGTAAAATAGTAAAGAATAAACAACAACCCATAGTTAACTATCAATTATTGACTATTAGACGCAGTGTAAGTTTAACGACTACGATGAGTAGCCTAGTAGTAATCAACTACAGGTAGACGACTTCTACCTACAGATAAACTAATAAAACAACCAGATGAAACATTTTTAAGAACACTCAAACTCCAAATAACATCTTATATGATACCAAATCCAAGCATAACAAAACAAGTAGGGGAGACCCAAAAGTAATTGAGGCATTACAAACCAAAACGCAATATCCAAGCATAACATATTTCTAGGATGCATAGTAGCAAAAAAGCTTCAAATAAGGAGGAGCTAAGAATTTACATAAAATGTAGTCCCCTAACTTCCAATCTGAAGTGCATCATACCCGATTCCCCCTGCCTCATCTCCCATTCATCCCTGCCATTTTTCTTACCTTACATGCACCGGAAGCTTGCATGACGCTTTGTTGTGACCCTTTCCAAGACACTTGCTGCAAATCCTCGCCGCCTTCCTCGAACGCCTCTGTGTAATGTGGAGAATGAATAATAGACAGTTATTTTACTGTAGTCGCTTACCAATAATCGTTTACAAGTAGTTGCATATTTATGTTTAATAATAAATACCTTCAGTTCTCCTCGTGATGGGATCCTTGTTTTCCTAGGACGCCCTGGGGGTCGGCGCATTAACGGTGGAAGTAGTTCCGTGCCACCAGAACTTACAGGAGTTGGTACTGGATGGAAAGCTCCCTCGTAAAGGGATCTCCGGTACTTTGTGCTGTACACCTCTCCAACGAGCTTCTCAAGCTCAAGTTTGCTGCATGAAGAAGCTGCCATTGCATGTCGGCACGGGATGAGAAGCATCTGAAACTCCCTGCAGCTGCAAGTCTTCCAAACAAGGTCACTTCGAATCTGTCCCCATGTCTGTTGTAAACTTCGTACTCATCCTCTCCGACAACAACCACCTACATATAAACATAGTTATTTATAATTAGACGCTTAATTGGTAGTTAAATATCTACGGATACCTGTATTGGATTATTTCGGTAATCGTTTTCTTTTTACCTTTAGCTCCATGCATTCGTGAAAGTTTTCGTCCATCATGTCACGCACTTTCGGATTTATAGGGTGTTGTTGTGCGGCAGCTGCAGCTTTCCTCCTTACAAACCAGCTGATAAGACTCATCCTAATGGCCTCAAGCATTGAGATTAGTGGAAACTCACGGCACTCTTTCAAGACTTTGTTAAGGGACTCGGCCACATTTGTTGTCATTACATTGTACCGCTCGCCAAAACAGTACGCCCGAGTCCAGTGTGGCAACCCCAGATCCACTAAGTATTTTGCACAGTTTGGACTCACGTTCTGCAAATCGGCAAAGAGCTGCTGAAACTCGTACACGGTATAAGATTTAGCAGCTCGAACCATCAATCCTGGCAGCGGGCTTTCCTTAAAACGTGTGGTGATGTTTCTTGCGAGATGCACAAGGCAAGCACCATGGCCGGCATCTGGGTACACCTAAAACACCACAAGCCAAGCCATACATAATAGTCAGCTATATATACTTAATTATTATCCATAAGTAGTAGGGTAGCAAATAGTTGACTATTTTTATACCTTTCTGAGTCCTGAGTATATGCTGCCGTGCCGGTCCGAAACAAACATAACATCTCGGTCGTTGGGAATGATTGTTTTCAAGCAATTGAAAAACCATTCGTAAGAAGCATCATTCTCACTGTCCACAACCGCATATGCAATTGGGTAGATCTGAAAGTTCCCATCTTGGGCACTGGCACATATGAGACAACCCCATATCTGCCTACCAGATGTGTCCCTGCACTTATACATAGGTAATTATAGGTATACACAAGTAGTATATTATGGAAGTAGTCGTAAATATGTAGTCAATTTCTTACCATCAATTATCACCACTGGTCTTAAGTATGGGAGTCCAGCAATTAATGCAGCAAACGAGATGAAAAGGTACTTGAACCTTTGACAACCATTTCTATCCACCCCAAACACTCTGTTTTGCAAACTGTCCCTGGGTTAGAGCTTTAGATTCTCTAAATAAGAAGGGAGCAATGCGAAACTTCCAGATACTGATCCAAACGCTCTTTCCAATGCCAATTCCCTACATCTCCAGGCCTTCCAATATGAAATGTTGACCTACATTCAAACAGTATACACATACTTACACAACCAATTAATTTCACTAGATAGTCTACTACGTATAGCTAACTACTGTTCATCAAATACCTGGAACTCCTGAAGCATTATTCGCTGGATTTCGATAGGACCGGGCCCTTTCTGTCCTGCTACAAACCTTGTTTGAATCAGCTCACCAAACTTGTGTTGTGGCCTGTTTGTGATATTTCCGGCGGTCTTCAATAGGACATGTGTGTTTCAGCTTGGCCTTCTTAATTTGGAAGTTCCCTGTCGCATCCAAGATGGAAGCGTATACCCGCCATGGACATGTTGGATTAATGCAAAGGAACTCCATGTAATTGGGTGTTGATCGTGGTGTCCTAAAGTGGAATTTTCTGTTAATGGCGTGAATAGCCAACTTAATCTTACACTCCACTTTGTTTCTGAAAATTCTGCCCACAAAAATACCATCACCTTCATAGCGCATGTCTCTCAATGCACTGTCTATCCCTGCACACCATATTAGGTGAAATACGTTACTACTATCCCACTATCCTGGTAAATAGCTACTATAATAAACATTTACCAATAGTCAACTACATACCATCATCAGAAACTTCATCCACAACGGGGGGAGCATCTCTTCCAAACATCGCCGGAAACTCTTCTGTCTCAGAGAAAACACCATTAATCGTCTCTTCCGCGCAACTGTACCTGCTTGAATGGCGGCTATACTCTCCCTTCTCGTAAACCAGCATTTTAGCCTTGCCTTTCCCACGATCCTTTCTCGCCGGATTGATTTCCTCCACTGGGTCCTCCATCTCATCATATTCCACGTTGTCACTGTTACCCAGATCGGATTCTTCAAAACACTTCTCAAACTCCGGCTCCTCGCCAGCCAAACAGATGACAGACAACTCGTCCAGCTTCTCACATCCCTCTCCCTCGGACGACTCTGCAAAAAGTAACTAACTACCCAGTCAACAATCTCAACTAATATAGTTACTGACATAATAGCGAACTATTTTATGACATATGACTAACATTTGTCACTAGTTAACTACTAAATGACCGACTACTATGTAGTTCATACCATCGTTGTTTGCGACATTTTCCTCCGTTTGGTTGTTAACCACCAAAGGTGAGTAATTTCTTCCAGGAATCGCCACACCTTCATCCGAATCGCCTTCTGTTGTAACGCACAGGTTCAGCTGGTCGATATCTGCCCATATCTCCACAAAAAGAGCCACTTCATCATCGGAAGACATCAAAACCGGTGGCGCGTCACGACCGTCGTCCATCAGCATGTATGACGGCCACTGGAAGGTCAGAGTTACGCCCACATCTTCCTTGATATCCATTTTCTCTTTCACGAGCTTCACTACCTCACAAAATGTCATCCTTGCGCTAAGGAATACCGCTTTGGTATTCCCAGTCTGGTCCGTTAAGAAAGTCCACACGCCGTTGCTCTGTTAGAACCATTTTCCTTTCACCAACAACACCATTTGTCTTCCTGACATCTACACAAACAAGGCCGATGTTCAATAAGTATCTAACTACAAATAAAAAGTAGTCACATTAGTTCTGCACAAGTAGTCATACCTTTCGAACACAAACAAGTAGACAAACCCTAGGTAAATTGTTTACTAGCGGCGGTTTATGGGAGTTGTTATCTTCTTCACTATTTATTTGATGGTCCTTAGGGTCCCCTCCCTAAACCTATCCGTACAGCTCTTACTACACGACAAGTTATTTTGGGGATAAAGTTAACGTTGTTAGTGTTAAAAAGGGAAAGTAGCATATGCGAATTAACAAGTTCGCATGGTCCCTGTCCCGCTCAGAAAAAGCGTTGTCTACCTTTAGGGAGCAAGGGGTATACTGTAATTTCCCTCCTCCTTTTTTGGTTGATTTCCGCTACCCACTTAATTAACTTCTTTTCGCTGGTATTCGCCTAATTCGAGCTCGCAGAAATAATATTGGTGCAAATCACTCTTTAAATAATAAAATTTTATTCACTTAAATACCTTTTATCTTCTTGTTACTACACCAAATTTCCCTTTTTATTTTGTAGACCATCTTTGACTTGCATATTCTTTTGGCAAACATTTTACCTCATTTGTAATTGACATTAAATATATAGCAGAATAGACAGATGTTAGAGAGAAATGAAAATTATTAAAAAAAATAATAATAACAGAAAATGTAGTACATCTGCATGTCTTTTTTTTTCGAGTACGTCAACATGTCTAATTGCTACCAAATAAGACTATAACCAGATAGACAGACAAAATGTATTCTTTTCCGACGACAAGAAAATGTACTCTATTCCAAGTTTTCTTACAAATGGTATCTTCCTTACTGAGTTTTCCGATAAAATACGTACGTCTATTCTTTTTTTTTTCGGAAACTTGTTTAATGACACTTTTCCATCGTAATATGCTATATTAATTGATCATTTGAACAAAAAAAATTAGTGAGAAAAATCTCTGACACGAATGTAATTCATTCATTGTTGATGAAATAAAAACAATAATCATTGACAAATTTGAAGGAAAAAGGCAACGACCAACAATGCATGATCCTTATTTAGACGAATACAAGAAATGCAAGAATGAAATTCCAAAACACAAGTTTTGTTACATCATGATCAGAACTTGTTCTGTAGATCAATGACAACCTTAGGATCCAACTGGAATGCCCTAGCAAGAACGTTCGGGTTTATCGGCGGGTTAGATCCAAACACAGTGTTAGCAATAGTGACAACACCTGGGTTTTGGCTGCTTAGAGCAGCGAATGCAACCGCTGGAGATCGTCCCACATTGGCTTGGAAATGGATGAGTCCTTCTGGAAACACAAACACATCACCCTTGTTCAGTGTCTTGGTGAAGAGACGATTTCCATCTCCGTTTGATGAGACAAAACCTACGAAAAGTGTTCCTTGTTGGACAACCAAGATCTCGGTGGCACGTGGATGGGTATGAGGCGGGTTCTGTCCGTTCACTCCATAGTCAATACGGACAAGCGAGATTCCAAGGGTGTTTAACCCTGGAAGGTTGTTAACATTGACGGCTGTCACATTCGATCCGACTGCATTATTTACGGCTCTTGCATTGTGAAGCCCTGAGAAAAAGAAGTCATCCGCGGTCGCCAGCTTTGGGTCCTTGCAAAACTTTCCGTTCACAAAAACTGAACATAGTACCCAAAAAAGTGTTAAGGATGAGAAATCGAATGAAAATGAGGGTAAAAAACTAGTAGGAAATCAACATTTACATACCGCCATTTGCTGGGGTGTTGACGCCAATACAAAAGTCTTGAAGAGGGCTCGGGTCAGAAGCAATGACCAATGAAAGTGTTAACGCCAAAAGAGAGATAATTGAAAGAAAGGAGATAGTCTTCATTGCCATATATTCAATGAAATGATTCGTGGAAGAAGGGGAAGTGTTTTCGTTTCTTGAGTATGGTTTATTAGTCAAGAGGTAATAAACATATGAGGCATTTGAGCTGAATTTATAGATGATTTTAGATGCTGAACTAGTCTATAGAAATGCATATACTAGACATGTAAATTTAGGAAATTTTGAAAATTTCTGAATTCTAAATTTGAAAGCGTTGATAATTTTTTTTTTTGAAAAATCGTGCTCCCACAACACTCCATCTTTATGGTAAGAATACTTCAATTACAAAAAAAAAACTACAATATGAACATACAATATATTTCTATTTCTAATGAAAAATTATCCAGTTGAAGTTTGAAATGGCAAGTGTTGGCAAGTTATACATAAAATGTTTGATTCATGATTATCTTCCCTCAATTTGTCATTAATATATTTAGTTATATTTCATTTAACACATGCAGCTGAGTTGACTGAATCAAATGTCAATTTGAAACTGTTAGTTTGGTTTGATTGTTTCTATAATTGAGTAGGCACGACAGGACTGTATCAACTTTCATCTATATACATAAATTGATAGTAATAATTTAAAAATACCCTCTAATTTAGGAACATTACATTGTCATAAAAATTTGACTCCAATCGTGAATATATCGTAAATATGTTAGTTTGGTTTTCTTGTTTCTATAATTGAGTAGGCACGATAGGACTGTATCAACTTTTATCTATATACATACATATATTGATAGTAATAATTTAAAAGAAATATGGCCTCTGGTCTTCTTTAGGAACAATGTCATAAAAATTTGACTCCATTGATCGTGAATATATTGTAAATATCTTTGTTTACCCGTTATATCCTGACTGTTCTAACCATCTTCACTTGTTTTTTCCCAGGTTTCGAAGAGATATTCTGGTAACACTCTCGTGTACATGCGTCGGATTTCTGGAAACAACTCCAGCAGGAAAGCAAATTAAAGCAAATAGTTGGAAAGAATTGAGTTGTAATAAGTTTTTTAGTTGATTTTATATAAATTATGAAGTCGTTACGATTTGATATTAAAATACTCTGGAATCTATTAACACTATTATTTAAACTATATTTTAAAATCTATGTTTAAATAACATATAATATGTCATTTTAGTGCGAACCATTTCAAATTCTAGATTGAATAGACCCTCTCAAAATCTTTGGATAAGCATCTGAGACGGTAATCAAATATACTATTATTTGTGAGGTCAAAATCTGATATGTAGTTTTTACAGCGAGTATCTTACGTGTCATTATTAAAAAAGTTATGTGATATTTTAGTTAGTTCTGATAGGTCAATCACTAATTTTACGTTTAAATACCTGTAACATGACTCCGAGTTTAGGTTGACCCGTTGCAGACATGCGGGTATGTGGGTTGACCCGCAAATATATATATGTCAAAGAAAAAAAAACGTTTCAGAAAAAATTAAGACCTTTTGTTATTACTAGAGTCTCTTATAACTTAATTAAAAACCCCAAATATAGCAGCCAAGCAGGAAATTCAAAAGTTAAAAAACCAGAATATTAAAATTGAAACAAAGCTTCTCAGTTCTCCCGTCAAAGACAACATCTGCTTCTAGTCAATTATTTGCAGAAAACTAAATTCAACAGTTCAGTCACCTTTGTAATGGTAAGTTGTTTATTTTTTTAATATTGTTTATGCTTTATCAATTTTATAGAATCTGCCATGCTTATATAAGTTTTTGCAGTAACTAAAATTGAATTCTCGATGTATAATTCTTTTTAATGTATCTTGCATACTCTGTATATATTCATAGGTCTCTCATTCAATAAAATTATAGAATTCCATAAACTTCATATGGTAAACCCTAAACCTTATAAGTCTTCAATAAAATTAAAGATTTATTTTCAGCCCGCGGACTAGTCTGTTTACCCATTGGGCTTGGCGGGGCGGGCTTAGACATAATTTTGTTGTCTGCAATCTTAGCGGGCCAGCCCATCAAAGACCGCAAAAATAAAAATCCGCAGCGGATGTGGCCCGTTGGGCGCGGGCTGGCCCGTTTGACACCCCTATTGACTCTTTTCCTTTGATAATGGTCAGCAATTTTGTTAATGGACCACCGATCTCGAAATCGGCACTAGCCACTGATTTTGGTTATGGACCACTAATATCAAAGTCGGTACTAGCCTAAAGCCTAAGTATCCATCATACTATATATACTCCTCTCGGTTTTATTGTTTTCTTACATATAACATCCGTCTTCTAAGGTCTAGCATCCTTTTTAAAAAATTCATCTACGTTTTTTTTTAAAATCGATATATACTATTATTTATGCATTTCCGTAATGACAACCTACTATTTTTTTATTATGCTTCGCTGATTGAATATTTCATCTCTCGCCTTACAGTAGTATCGTCAGGTAAATAAAAATATGTTTTATTTTTATTTTAATCCGTGATTTAAATGTTTTATTCTGCTTCTAGATGTTCTTCTTATGTAAATCCATTGCCTAATAGTTCTTTCCTTAAAAAATTTATGAATTTTCTGTAGCGAGTAGCAATCGTCGCCTCTGTTATCATCATATTTTGCCATGTCATCTGCCTCCATCTCAAATCGTTTTTATAGAAGATGAACATTTTTCTGCCTGTGTTTACAATGATAAATTTACAGGTTGATTAAAGTGTAGTTAGGACTATCCTAAAGCCATATCGTATATGTATTCTGAATCTGACCCATTGGATTTGGGATCGTAAAAACATCAATGGCATCCCCATCTTTGCAGCAACTCTAGACCGAGTATTATAGCCAATTGTAACCCCAACGTTGGCGAAGCCTACTACTTGAGGGTTTCATTGCATGTCGTTTGCGATCTATGTTTTTATATGCTACTAATAATTAATGGTGTTGTCCACCCTACTTTCAAAGATGCATGTTATGCTTTGGGTTTAATTTACGATGATACCGAGTATGTCAAAAATTTTCTATGAGGCAAGTCAATGGGTTCTTGCTCTTCTCTTCGAATGATGCACACTGCTTTGTTAGGTGCAGGTTCTACGATGAATCCCTTTTGTGTTTGGAGATTCATTCAATGTTTATTAGTAAAGTTTTATCAATTCTTTGCATTGTTTTTAATTTTTTTCCTTAATTATCTTATTTTAACAATTTCTTAGATTTTTAGTTGTGTTCGGATTTTAATTATTTTCCATAATGTACTTTCTAAATTTAATAATCATCAATAAAAATAAACGATTAAACAGATTTCTAATTAGTTTTTGCTAATTAATAATTTATATGTTTTTCTTATTTTTACCCATTCATAATTGTTATTTATTGTTATAAAAGACGTACAAATAGTTTTCATCATAAATCATATATATTGCTCTTTCTTTTATTCACCTATAATTCTTATAACTTAGAAGTAGAAGTATAAAGAAGAAGTCGAAGTTGATGATAAGAACTCAAAACAAAAAGATGAATTTGAATAAAACCATGGAGAAAAAGAAGCAGATGAGAACACGAAATAGTGAAGAAATAAGGATAAGGACAAAAAATGTTGGAGTCAAAGAAGAAAAACGGGAGAAAAAAATTAAAGATGAAGAAAAAAGAGTCACAAGACAAATTAAAGCCATGTTGCATGGTAATGGCTTGTCTTCGTATTCAGATTTCTGGGTGATGATAGAGTAAATCAGTTGCTGAAAGATGGGTCTAGCTACTCCAGAGGGTGTATCAGACGAACAACTGCTTGTATGAGCCGGATGAGGCTGTTTTGGAACGTTCCAACAGTTGGCCATGACTGCAGGAGACGCAACCGCGGGGATTCGACCGTGGGCTGCAAGCAGACCAAGCACGACCATGGGTGGACGCCTCTTGACCGTGGTCACAGGGGATACAACCGCGGGAGAGTGTCTCCTAGGTGAGTTGCTGGATTTGCTTGCTTCTTTGCTTCCTGAATGATCTCCTGGATCTTCTGGCTTAGTATACTTCCTCTCTAGGCCTAGGTCTTCAATGTGAGTTGCTAAATTTTTTTCTCCAAGTTCTTGCATGATCTCCTCAATTTTTTCTTCAACTTCATCGAGAGTATAGACCACATTATCTATGGTTGAGTCAAGCTCTTCGGTTTTGTCAATAACTTTGTATACCTTCTCCGGAACTTCAACCGTGAAGTCATAAGACTCGTTCTTTGCTTCGTTGAAGGCATTTTCTACATCGTCGAGTTTGAAATCCAGGTCCATGATCTTTTTCTTAGCATTGCGGAAGCTCGTGGGTATGCTTTGCTTGTTCTTCCTCCATATTGTTGAATCTATCAGCAATCATGGCTGCATCTTTGGTCGCTCATTCCTCTATCGATTTGACCTGGAAGCAATGTCGTCAATCTTCTCGTTGAAAAGCTTCGATATATCGTTGAACCTTTCGTTAAGAGCAGCTGTAGCAACGGCTTGAGCCTCAATGAATTGCTTGATCATGACTTCATGCTGCTCCAATCGATGATTTATCTGAACGTTCTCATCCTGCTGGAGGATTTGGTGAGGTAGGCGATGAACAGGTGGTCTAGGGTTCGCTATGGGAGGCGTGTAGGGGTCATCCAGGAATGCTCGAAAGTTTGGATTAGAGTTCCGAACCAAGTTGAAGAGGTCGCGTATGTATTGCTCTTCTCTATGTCTGGTGGTTTGAGAAGTGTTGTAAAAACCTCCCTCGTAGTAGAGATTTCGATTTATAGGGTCCATTACTTCGGGAACTGAAACAAAGAGAACCAAAAACAAAAATAAGTAGAAAAAAGGTTCTAGAGTCGATGTACCAACCTTTTAGGGTTTTTCGGAAAAGGAAACGCATGCCTTCCCCGGAAATGGCGCCAAAAACTTGATGTGGTGTGGTGTGCGGGTGTCAAGTTTTACCCTAATGAAATCAATAAGCCGCAAGTGCACCGCTGATCGATTGTAGTACTTAGGGATTGAATCCACAAGGAAGGAGATTCTTTTCGGCAAAAGCCTTCGAAAGAAATATGAAGTAAGGAAGTCTAGAACCATGCAATATTTTAATGGATTTTGGTGATGTCTTTAAAACGTAAAAACTAATATTAACGGGAAAAAA